TCAGCCTGTAATCCCGCGCCTTTGGGAGGCTGAGGTGAGTGGATTGCCTGAGCCCCACGGGTTCGAGACCCGCCTGGGCAGGCGAGACCTCATCTCTACAATAAATCAAAAAAATTAGCCGGGCGTGGTAGCATGAGCCTGTAGTTCCAGTTACTTGGAAGGCTGAGGCGGAAGGATCGCCGGATCCCAGCAGGTCGAGGCTGCGGTGGCTGGGAGCAGCCACTGCACTCCAGTCTGGGCGACAGTGAGACTCCAACTCAAAAAAAAAAAAAAAAAAAGGAAAGAAAGGCTGGCTCACACTTGTAATCCCACTACTTTAGGAAACCAAGGTGGGAGGATCATTTGAGGCCGGGCATTCAAGACCAGCCTGGGCAACACAGAGAGACCTCATCTCTAGAAAAAAATTAAAAATTAGCCATGGGCAGTGGTGTATGCCTGTAGTCTCAGCCACTCAGGAGGGCAAGGTAGGAGAATTGTTTGAGCCCAGGAGGTTGAGGCTGCCGTGATCTATCATCACACCACTCATGAAGGACAGAGGAGGAGGCACCCAGGGACACCTGCAGAGGGGAGTGCCAGTCTAGTGCTCCAACTGGCCACTAGCTCAATCCACCCCTTCAGCAAGGACCTCAGTCATTGTCTCTGAGCCTGGGTGACAGAGTGAGACCCTGCCTCTGAAAAAGAATTTTTTTTAAAAGAGGACAGTAGCAAAATCTCAGGGGGTAATTGAGACAGTTAACTGACATCACACATCCTTAGCACCACACCCTGCCTGCGGGAGCTGGTGCTCCATTTCATTGTCAGGTCCAGACTCTCCTGCTCGTTCTCTGAGCCCCCAAAGAACTCTGAGTCCCACCTGGCTTCTCTGCCCTGTGTGTGAGTCCACTCGTCCAGCTCACCTGAGGGCGTGGGGCTGGGAGCACACACTCAAGTGGGCACTTGGACGGGGAAGGGGGAAGGGGCAGGCTCCCGGCTCCCAGCTCCCTCCTCACCATCTGGAGAAAGCGGCGGATGCGCTGGGCGTCCTGTGCCCGGAACACGTGCCACACAGTGCTGACCTGGCTGCCCGGAGACCAGAGCCCCTCCCCATCCAGGCCTGAAAGGAAGTCTAAGGGAGAAAGTGTGCTCAGGCGAGTCCAGGGTGGGCTCAGACACTTATGCCAGCAGCTTGTCCTCCCTCCTGTCTCCGGCCGAGGACGCACCTTTCTGAGCCCGGTTCCAGGCAGGCAGGGGTGCCTCGGCATGTACCAGGACACTGACCAGGTCAGTCACCTCCACAGAGAGGTTCTTGGTCCCCTGGTGTCCACGTTGTGGGCTCACACCTGCACAGAGGTGGAGAAAGGATAGTTGATAAGGGAATAAGAGATGTGCTCAGGCCCCAGGACCTTGGCACTGACTCACATGTGCCCTGAGATGACAGGCACGGGAATAGGAAGTGGGCAGGGGTGGCAGGGTCACTCACCATAGGCTGCCCAGAGCTGGGGTTCCAGTGGATGTAGGGTAGGGCCCGGTGGGAGGTAGGAAGCCAGGTTGAGTTTCCCGTGCTGGCCGCAGTATTCTGGGAGTGGCAGGCTGGCAGCCAGGTTCGCCACCCTGTGGGAGGAAGGGGTCAGGCCCAAAGGGCCCAACCCGGGCACCAGAGACCCCATCAAAGCCCCCCCACTGTTGGAGTAACTCCCAGAGGACAAGCATAGGAGCACTGGGGGCCATGGGCTGGGGTGAAGGGTGAAGGGGAGGACAGTGGCCGGAGAGGTAGGGTACCATACACACCTGCTAATGTCCTCGTCCCCCAGAGCCCGGTACAGCAGGAGGACCGAGCCCTCATCTGACTTTGGGCGGACTAGGGAAACAGACAGATGGCCACTGGCTCAGGAAGGAGCCTCCTTGGCCCAGAGGCCCCTGCCCCAGTGGCAGCAATACATGAGTCCAGTTTCTACCCTGAGCCTGGCTTCCAGAAACCGTCCCTTGCCCCACAGATCACCCTGGGATTCCTCTGCCACCCAGTCCCTAGGGCTCAGGCTCCTACCTTCCCACCCTATGTCAAGGATACTTACTCTCAGGCCGGGAGAATCCCTCCCAGAATGTCGTGCTGCCCAGGCTTGTGGGCTGAGGAGGCCCGAGGGGAGTCAGTGCCTGCACCTGTCCTCCAAGCTCCCCAAGAGCTTCCATCCCCCACAGGCTGCCTTGCAAGGTCCTCTGAATCCCTGACACCAGCACGGGCTGTAGTGGAAACGGAAGGAGGCCTTGAGGAGAGTGGATGGGGTGCCTGCCGTGGCAGGGCTGGAGTGTGTTGCAAGCGTACCAGCACAGTTGGGGGCGGGGAGCAGTCCTGCTGCTACCTCTGAGCAATTAGGTCTGCCTGGGCCCGGGGACCAAGGCCCTGAGTTGAGTCTGCCGGGCTGGGAGGGGAGAGGCAGAGAGCCTCACCTGGCCCTGTCTCCAGTGCTCCTGGAAGAGATGGAAGCCATGCCGAGGCCTGGGTTCCTGCAGCCACAGCAAAGCCCCAGGAGTTGGCAGCCGGGGCCTCATCGGTGACAGTGGCAGGCCCAGGCCCTTTCGGAGGCCGGGGCCCGCACGCAGCCCCGGCCCCAGGGCTTTCTCCTGGATCTTCCGTTCCACTACCTGTGCAATGATGCTGTCCAGGATGTTGGTGATGCGGTCGTCCTGTGGGGAGGGAGGCACGGAGGGGCAGGGGGGCTCAGGACCCTCCGGACCCTGCAGGGAGGGCTGGCCCAGCCTCTGGTCCCCAGGCTCCCAGCCCTCCCTCCGTGACCTTGCTCACACTAGGCAGGGCCGGGGTGACAGGGGCAAAGGCCATGTGTATCCGCTCATGGCCCAAGCAGAGTTTGACCGCAGTGGAGGCCAGCAGTTCGCAGAGAGAGGGACAAGGCAGGGGCCCTCGGCTGGCACGGTCTTCTGCTGGGGTCTCAGTAGAGTCCGGGGTCTCTGTCGGTGAGGAAAAGAGTGAGGGGTTTCACATTGTGCCCGCTTTCTCGCGAGGCTCTCTTGCCCACAATGCTGTTCCCTCAGCTCCTGGCCAACCCGCTTGCGCTCTCCCCAGAAGCATCCCCGCCTCAACTCTGCTCAAAATCCCTCACCTCCCACCAGCTTTCCTGAAGGCAGCTCCAGAATCTCTAAAAGGAGGGGCTCAGAGGGGTGTCTGGCTGGGGAGGGGTTAGAAGACTTGTCTTGGGAAGAGTGATGGAGATTGTGGGGGGGGGCAGGAGCTGCTTAAGCAATTCCAGTCTTCCCTGGAGATTTCTGCAGCCTGTCCCCTCCTCTGGCCCAGTCGCCTGCCCGCACAGTCCCAGGGGCGAGAGGAACCACTCACCCTCTTTGATGTCCTTGGTTCTGCTGGTGTCCCCATTACAGGAAGGTTGTGGAGTTGGAGTTTTCTCTATTGGTTCTTTCTGTGAAACCCATCCACCACCCCCCAATCCAACCAGAGATTTTTTTAAATGGCAGACACAACTCAGCTCAATGCAACTCAACCCACGAGCATGAACAATGGACCCCGGTAAGTCTTACAATTGTGTTTACAGGAGCAAAATGTTGTAAGATATAACACTAGGTGGAAAAAAGTTGCTCATGGACTTCTACATATGGTAGGGTCTAAAGTATACCAGCATAGGCAGGGCTAGGTGGCTCAACCTGTAATCCCAGCACTTTGGGAGGCCGAGGCAAGTGGATTCCCTGAACCTATGGGTTCGAGACCAGCCTGGGCAACTTGGGTGAGACCTTGTCTCTACAAGAAATCAAAAATTTAGCCGGGCGTGGTAGCGTGCACCTGTAATTCCGGCTACTTGGAAGGCTGAGGCGGAAGGATTGCTGGAGCCCAGCAGATCGACACAAAAAACAAAATAAATAAATAAAGTATACCAGCATAGATGTGAATAAGTATGACTGGAAGAAATATGCCCACATTCATGTTGGTGTTAGAGACCATGTCTTTTTTTCTTTATGCTTGTCTGTGCTTTCCAAATGTTCTGCAGTGGGTGTGTAGACCTGTGTCTGGCTCACAAAATACATTCAGTGAACTATGTCTTGAATGAATGCCTTATATAATAAAAACATGAACTTCATGAAAACTTTGCATATTTCATACTGAGTACCCACTGTGTGTTAGGTGCCAGGGATGCCGAGGAGGTGGCCAGCACTCCCCAGCTTGGGAACACAGCCACACAGACAAGCACCTCTAGTGTGGTGTGGCAAGCGCTGGGCTAAACTATGCACAGAGGGGGACAGGACTCCAGGCAGGCAGGCAGTGAGGACTTCCCGTGCAGGGGAGGGTGGCTCCTAATACCCAGGGGAAGGCAGGAAGTAGCCTGACTCCACCGGCTTTCATCTCCCTCTTCATCCCCAGCAAAAGAAGAGGGTCAACCTTCCTGCAAAGGTCAGTTATTTGCAAGAACACTGCCCTGCCTGTGCCACACCCTGGTTCTTACCTGCTGGCCCTCATCTCCGGAGGCCCACACCCGGGCATCAGCTTGGCAGGGGCAGTGCCCTCGGATGTCAAACTTCACCCAGACCTGGTGCATTGCCATGCTCAGCTCCGACAAAGCTGGGGGTGTTGAGAGGAGCAAAGGGGGAGGTTAGTGGTGAGTGCAGGCCAGCAGGCAGCCCCTGGGCAGCTTGGTCCCACCAAGCAGAAGGGCATGACATGGGGGGTGCAGACAACCAGACAGGGAACTGGTCTCCCTCAGGACCCACCCTCTGTACGCCCCGCCCCTCCAACATGGCTCACCCTGGCTAGAAACAAACTGGGTCAGCATCAGGGAGCAGGCAGTGTGCCCAGCCTCCTGGGCACATTCCTCCATGGACTGCTCCTGAGAGCCTGTGGGGCAGGAAGGGAGAAGCTGAGACCCAGAAATCAAGGTAACCATAGGTTAAGGTCGGGGAAGAAGGGCAAGGACATGGATTCTAAATCGGGGCTCCACAATCCCTAAAACGTGTGCTTTCTGGGAAACTTAGGTCACACAGAGACATGGGATTCTTTGCTTGCAGGATGCAGAGGCTTTAATATGCTGAGATGCTTTGCGAGACCCCAGGTTGGTCATGTGGAAGAGAATGTTCTAAAACGTATCTGACACTGGAACACTTTTTGGCCACGTCTACTGGAACACTGGGAAATTTCAAGACCTCGAGTGGCCAAGTAAAGCCAAGGGAGAGAAAGCTGAGAACTGTGAAAAGAACACGACGAAATCAGAAGGCCTGAGTCTAAGTCCTGGCTGTAACACTTACTAACGATGTGACCTTGGACAAGTCACTAAACCTCTCTGGGTCTTTTGGGGAAAATGAGAGCAATAAGACCCACCTCACAGTGCTACAATGGGTTTAAAAAGGTACAAGTTAGCTGGGCTCGGTGACTTGGCCTGTAATCCCGCGCCTTTGGGAGGCTGAGGTGAGTGGATTGCCTGAGCCCGCGAGTTCAAGACCTGCCTGGGCAACTTGGCGAGACCTCATCTCT